GCCAAAGAAATAGCCTCCACTATCCAGTGTGACATCCGCTGTTTAGTGACAGCAGAACCTCTGTTCTTACCACCAAAACACACGAACAACTGATCAGATCTACGCCACTGAGCCGTGCGGTCAACGTAGGTCCTAAGTGCCCTAACCGGACAGAGATTCAGGGCAACTGACCCCTTCTCGGCTGGGGAAAAAGCCTCCAAAACCACTTGCTGAAAGCGAAACGGAGTTGAAGCGACCTTAGGAACATAATCAGGCCTAGGTCGCAAAAATACTTTTACCAGTCCTGGTGCAAAGTCCATACACGAAGGACTAATGGAGAGAGCCTGCAAGTCCCCTACCCTCTTGAGGGAGGATAAAGCCACCAAAAGAACGGTCTTAATGGTCAGTAACTTCTCTGACACCGACTCCATCGGTTCAAAGGGATGGCCTGTCAGGCCCTCCAACACAATCGATAAGTCCCAAGAAGGAACTCGGGCTGGGCGGAAAGGCCTAAGCCGTCTCGATCCCTGCATAAAATGTGAGACTAGGGGGTGACAACCAACCGAAACACCCTCTACGAGTGCATGCCCTGCTGATATGGCTGCCACGTACACTTTAAGAGTGGCGGGGGTAACCCCTTCAGAGAAACGACTCTGAAGAAACTCCAGTACTGAACCAATGAGGCAGTGGACTGGATCCAAAATGCGCTGTCTACACCAAGAGGCAAAACGTCTCCACTTGAAAGCATATAAGCGTCTCGTGGAGGGAGCCCTAGAATTCATAATAGTGTCGGTAATCTCAGCCGAGAGACCAGAACACATTAGCGTACTCCGCTCAAGGGCCACGCCCATAACCTCCATAATTCCGGTCGAGGATGCCAAATCATGCCCCGAGCTTGTGTCAACAGATCGTGTCTGAGGGGAACCTCCCATGGAGGGCCCGCTAGCAGACTGACCAGGTCTGAGAACCACGACTGAGTGGGTGGGGTAAGAACTGTTTGAGAGCCAGGAGAACCGCAAGCATCTCCGTAGTGACCGTCTTGCGGCGACACAATGTCCCCATCTGGACTCCCTCCTGTCTCATCCACGGGCTTAAAGCACGAAAGCCCTTGCGTGTCACTGTAATTCTGTGAAGAGGATGACAGGGATGTGAAATGTTCTGGCTCTTGGTCCACCACTGAAATGGTCGCATGTGGAGCAGGCCCAACTGAACTACAGGGGACGCTGCCGCCATCAGACCCAACAGCCTGAGACACAGGCCTACATGTACTCGGCGCCCTGTCCACTTGCTGAAAGCGAAACAGAGTCGAAGCGACCTTAGTAACATAATCAGGCCTAGGTCGCAAAAAGACTTTAACCAGCCCTGGGGCAAAGTCCATATACAAAGGACTGATGGAGAGAGCCTGCAGATCCCCTACTCTCTTAAGGGAGGATAAAGCCACCAAAAGAACCGTCTTGAGGGTCAAGAGCTTCTCTGACACAGACTCCATCGGTTCAAAAGGATGGCCTGTCAGGCCCTCCAACACAACTGATAAGTCCCAAGAAGGAACTCGAGCTGGGCGGAAAGGCCTAAGCCGTCTCGAACCCTGCATAAAACGTGACACCAGGGTGTGACGACCAACCGAAGCACCTCCTACGAGTGCATGTCCTGCCGATATGGCCCTAGGCTCCTCAGATGATCGAGTACCAGATCTCAATGTATCCGTGCCTGATCCTGAGATTGAGCTAATATTAGCCAATCATCCAGGTAGTTCAAAATTCGGACGCCCTGGAGCCGCAACGGGGCCAGAGCTGCGTCCATACATTTTGTAAACGTTCGAGGAGCCAAAGCTAGTCCGAACGGAAGAACACAGTATTGGTATGCTTTGCCCTCGAAAGCAAACCTGAGGAACTTCCTGTGCCTCCTGACGATCTGGATGTGAAAGTATGCATCCTTTAGATCGATGGTCACAAACCAATCTCCGGATTGGACCTGAGACAGAATGGACTTCACTGTTAACATCTTGAACTTGCTCACTCTGAGCACAAGATTTAGACGACGTAAGTCCAAAATCGGACGTAAACCACCATCTTTCTTGGGCACAACAAAATACCGGCTGTAGAAGCCTGACTCCATCTGAGTGGGGAGTATCTCCTCTATAGCCCCTTTCTCTAGGAGTGACACGATTTTCTGACTTAAAATCGAGGCCTCCCCAGGACGTACCATCATAGGAAGAACCCCACTGAAAGGAGGTGGCCCTTTCCGAAACTGGATGGTGTAACCGTGTCGAACGATGCGTAGTACCCATCGTGAAACATCGGGCAGGTGTCTCCACGCGGCCCAATAGTCTGCCAGGGGTTTTAGACATTCTACGGTTGGAACGTTCACCTGATTCTCCCGTATAGGGTCCCGGAGCACCTGAGTGGAGGAAAAAATATAATGGGAAGATGTCCGATTGTCCTGTCGGGCCTGCCTACCACCCCAAAAGTGGGAGCTTTGGAGGCCGTCATAAACGGGCCATGCTCGCATGACCCTTGGGCTTTCTCTCGAACTCTGAAGGCTGGAACGCGCAGAGTATCCGAGGAGGTGCTCGTCGTAAGGACTCGATCTAAAACTGCCCGAGGCGCAATATGCGGCGGGACCGTCAAGATCGGAGTCTGGAGGCCACAGCGAGAGAGTCGAATACGCTTGTGCGGTTCGTACACTCTCTCTAAAGGAGGGCCTGGCCTCCGAAGACGAGCAGAGGAATCAGGAACTGCTATTAGGAGCCTGAGAATGAGAGGCCTTGGCCGTCGAACTCAGGTCTAACCGCTTGCATTGCCGTGGGTGAGCAGGTGGGCGAGACCTAGGACCCCAGTCCTTACGAGGGGGTAACTTAGGCGATGGCTCATGCCGCTGGGCCTCGCGAGGGTGCTGCAAAGAGGACGAGCGTGAACGAGCCGCAGGTGGCTGACGCTCTACTTCCCTAGCCCTGCGCAGGATGAGCTGGCGAAACGTGGCAGACTGCTGTTTCGCTGCTCGAAAGTTCTCCACGACCGTAGTGACCGAATCTCCGAACAGACCGTCACTCGAAATGGGGGTGTCCAAAAGAAAAGTCCTGTCCTTCTCCTTAATGTCAGTGAGAGTGAGCCAAAGATGGCGCTCAGCTGACACTAAACCTGCCATGGACCTGCCCACTGCCCGAGCCATGTGCTTGGTAGCCCTAAGCGCCAAGTCAGTAGCTCGTCTGAGCTCTTTAACGGCCTCTGGGGTCAGGCCCTCTCCCTCATCCAGCTCCTTGAGCACATCTGCCTGATAAGACTGGAGTACACCCATAGAATGGAGTGTAGCCGCGGCCTGCCCCGCGGCCATGTAAGATTTTCCCATTCAAGCGGAAGTAACCCTACACGGCTTGGACGGCAGCAGAGGGCGTGACTTCCAAGACGGAGCGGAATTTGGAGCAAGATGTGCCGCGAGAGTTTCTTCTACGGCCGGCATCGCCGCATAGCTGTGATCCGCCATTTTAGAAACCGTGGCGAAATCAGCGGCAGCGGGATTAGTGATGCGCGCCGAAAAAGGTTGTTTCCAAGACCTCGAAACCTCGTGGTGGAGGTCTTGGAAGAAGGGGAGAGGCCTACGGGGCTGAGACGGAGTGCGGCTAGACAAAAATCGATCGTCCAGTTTCGACTGGATCTGATTTTGCGCTGGCTCGCTATCCCACTCTAACCCCAGCTTATCCACAGCGTGCGTTACAACGTCTAATAGTTCGCTGTAAGAAGGGGAGGTGCGTTTCTCCTGTCCACTTGGAGGGAGAGAACTGCACACTTCACCCAATAAATCCTCCGAATCGGAGGCCACTGTGGACAGCACGTCTTCGTCATACGGCATACACCCGAAAGACATCGCATCGCGAGCTTCCGGGGTAGGCCGCAAATTACGACAATCAGAAAGGCCGCTTGAGCGTGTTGTAGGCCCAAACATTGCACGCACCTGTCATGAGTGTCTCCTCCTGCGATAAACCTGTCACACGGCTCGATGCATCTCCTGTAGCTCATCGTGTCTGCTGAAGAGGAGTAAACTGCTCTTTCGAAGGAATTAGCTAAGAACACGACAAAAAGAACGCTTTCCTACGGGCGACAGATGATTCGCTTCCTGAAGGAAATGAAATCTGATTAAATAGCGCGCAGCACGCTGATATAGCTCACCTACGTGCGCATTGGGGCCGGTGCTAAGTGCTATTTGGCCAGTGTATTGGCCTGATGGTATAAGGGCTTCAGACATTCGTCACATCGAAGGTGTTCCCAAAGCGATGACGTCATCGCAGCATCTGAGTGAGCCTATGAGAGGGAACTACGACTAGTTGTTTCAATTTACTCCTGTGAAAACTTCTGATTTGACCTTATACCCCAGGTCAATATGAAGTTATACTACATACAGTTAGTTACGACATATAAAGAAAAATTAAACAAAAAATTTAAATGAAAAATAAATATATAAATAAATAATGAACAATATATTAAAGTTTTGGTAAAAAAAAATAAAAATATGACAACTTGCACCAACATATGAAAAGTATTCTTCGCTGAGAACATAGTTCAACCTTTCAGTTGAAATCTGAAGAAATAATAATAATAATAATAATAAATTGAAAATTAAGTCAAATCTGAATCTGACAGTTGATATTTGTCAGAATGTATGTCAGTGTGGTTTTATTTACCTTAGTTCAATTGTTCACACAACAGCTAAAAAGATGATGTTATAGATTTTGTATAGATTTTTGTATAGATAAATTCACAAAAAAATTATTAACTAGGTTTTTGAAACCAACGTACAAAAAAGTGACAGCTTGACCCGGTCTCCTTTATATATTACATTCTGGTATCTAATTATACTTTTAATAATTTGCTATGGTGAAATTGTATCGCTGTAGCTCTTTAAACTTTCTTCAACCTTCCACTTGTGCCTTGTAAACGTATAGCTACGGGATATCCTCTACCATAATTCAACAAAAACTGACAGCCTCCACAGAGGCCCTCTGGCCCCCTCTAAAGACACTGGACATAGTCTGGGAGAGAAAGTGAAAGAAGTCTTGTGATGGTTGGGCGGGTCAAGCTTATTTCTGGCTTGTTGTTTTGAAGGCCTACGGGAGGAGTGGGGGTAAAAATAAAAAAAAAAACGAGTTAAAGATGGCGGAAATCGAAGGAGATGAGACTGCTCGGCCCGCTCCTCCGTCACTGCTACCCGCAGCAGCGCCCCGCTTTAACGGGTCGGGGATGGACGGTTCTGGAAGCCAGACCCCGACCATGGTGACCTCGGGTCCGCGCGTGGTTCGGATCGTAAAGTCGGAATCGGGATATGGATTCAACGTCCGCGGTCAAGGGAGTGAAGGCGGCCAGCTGCGGAGCATTAACGGGGAGCTGTACGCTCCTCTCCAGCATGTCAGCGCCGTGCTACCCGGTGGTGCGGCGGACCGGGCCGGTATAGGGAAAGGAGACAGAATACTAGAGGTGTAAGTCTTTTATTTCCCACTTTATTTCTCATTTCAGCCTAGAAATCAGCACTGCTCTGCTGTCAGTCTGTTTGACAGTTACCCAGGCGCACTGTTGGCTTGACGTTATTTTTACACGTTAGCATAAGGATCTGTGGACTTGTTTAAGCTTTCGTGCTCGTGCACATCCCTGCTAATACAATAAACAGATCATTATTATGTAAGACGTGAGCAGATAACGCGCAGTGGGAAGTTCTCAAACGGTAAACGTTTGTTGTGCAACAGGGTCATTGGTTTGGTGTGTTAAATAATTCGCGCGTGGTTCCATTGACGCTTATGTGTCATAAATCCAGAAGAATCTCGCGCCCGGTGACTTGTTGATACATGACAGTAGCATGATCACATGCTGTCATATTGATCTCTTATCACTGATGCAGCTGATAAATATAGGTCCTGACACGTTAGCATCTTAAATTGTACTTGCTGTGAGTGTCAGTAATATCCTGGCCTTGGAAGTGCATATGATTGATCATTTTAAAAAGAAGGCAGTCTATAAAAGTAGTGGTTAGCTCGTATGTGTTTTAATGGCTAATACTTGTATATGGAGCGCTGGCTGGCCGATATAATGCACACATAATAGCAAATAAGATTACATAAAATTGATACATTTAAAGAAACACACATTTTACATGATATTTAGAGATAAATATCCCAATATGTGGCAGCTTTGAGATGTCCATTTTGCTGCTTAATATAGCGTCCCTTGTGTACGTTTGAACAAGCTTAAAAATGAATACACAATTGCTGATTTCTGATATTTTTAGTGAATGTTGTGTAAAAATGTTTTTTATTATACACTACCGTAAAAGTTTCGGGCCAGTAGGACTTTTTAATGTTTTTGAAAAGTCTCATGCTTGCAAGGCTGCTTTTATTAGATAAAAAATACAATAAAAAAAAACAATGTGAGACATTATTACAATTTATTTGAAAATGTTTGACATTATAATTTGTTTCTGTGATGGCAAAGCCAAATGTTCAGCAGCCATTACACTTCAATGCCACATCATTCAGAGATCATTCAAATAATAATTTCAAGAAACATTTATTTTTCTTCTTCTTTTGGAAACCGTTCAATTTTGTTTCAGGATTCTTTGATGAGTAGTTGTTGAAAGTTCAAAAGAACATATTTTATTGGAGAAAAAAATCTTATGTAACATTATAAATGTCTTTACTGTCACTTTTGATGAGTTTAATGTGTCCTTGCTAAAATAAAACTATTGCTTTAAAAAAAAAATCTTATTGACACTAAACTTTTGAACAGTAATGTATATATGCATACAATCCAGATGCCATAATTAAGGTGTATTAATTAGAGCCCGACCGATATATCGCTTTGCCGATATTATCGGCCGATATGAGCCTGTCGCCGATATATCGGTATCGGCTAATATGCCGCCGATATGAACATTTTTTTTACAGAACATATAATGCAGATAAAATGCTTGAAATTGTGTAATTACTTAGTTTGTCCAGCAGAGCGCGCTCCATTGTTTGCTACTGGTGACCTGGATGAAACGCTTTAAAGCTTAAGTCAATGGAAAACCATTGAAACTTTGAACGGCCATATCTCTGTAACGACGCGGCGAATCCACACCAAATTCGGGGGATCTCTTCAGCTAGGAACCCTCTCGAACGCGAATCGAGTGTATGCCTCGAGGCCCTCTTTCGAATGAGACCACCCCCGCCTGGATAGCCCCCGGGGTTTGGGAGTTACAGGTGGTTAAATTCGCCGGTCCGGCGCCAACCGATCTAGCGATCCCGGGGGGCTACCGACGCGCGGAGGGTGGCGATGGTACTATGGTCAAATAAATATTCAAACCACGTGTGTTACAGCTAACACCCCGTTACTTTGTGCATCGCACTCATCGCAAGTTTATTGTTAAATTGTTAAATGCCCTTACATATCTCTGTCACCATTATAAGTGTTTGATCACCACATTTGAGTGATCATTGCAAAAAATGTGTTTATGTATATATATTCTGTTTATGTATATACTGTATTCTATATATAGTACCAGTCAAATGTTTGGACACACGAATGGGAAAGTGTCCAAACTTTTGACTGGTACTGTACTATAATATACACAAAGAATATCGGCCGATATATCGGTATCTGCCTTTTTTACTCCCTAATATCGGTATCGGTATCGGCCCCAAAAAAAACATATCGGTCGGGCTCTAGTATTAATCCATATCAGTATTATATTGGCTGCCAAGCATTCTAGTTTTTGGCATGTCATGTGAACAACAAATAATATTTGCTCAAACTTCACCTGAGAATATTTGAAAATATATCCCTTGACAAGGCTGTCAGTAAATTTTGACATTAGACAGAATGACTGATCTTTTTAATCAGCCAGGGCGAATAATATTAATTAATAAAATTAATTTCACAATATCAGCTGATTAAATGGTCATTGAGCAATTGAGCGACTGTGTGAACATTGAGAACAGTGATAAGAAAGTATCTTCCTTCAGTGAATATTTTGCAGACGCTCTGCATTAAGTATTAACTCATAAGCTGCATTATGCATGTATAGAGCCACGTTGCTGGCCATAATTAGTCATTTGGAGGTGTGACCGGTAACGTGATCGGCATTATAAAAATCAGACGTATTGGGGTCACTGTTTTATCTTATGGGAAAATCAGAAGTTGAATAAGGCTTCCCAAGGGCCACAGAATGTGGTGTAGTTCTTCATAATGCCAGTCCCAGGCAGGACACACAAATGCTGGTGGTGTGCTGTTTTCAGTTCACTCAAACCACTTTCCCCGGACAGTCTTTATCACCTGAACTCGATGTGCAGTGTGGTCATCTAATTTGTGTGTGTATTAGGCCTAGATAAACTCGTGGCATGTAAACAAAGAAACCATTCATGCACTGCACACTAGTGTCAGACGACTACAATTATTATTTTTGTATAACAAATGATGTTACACTACTTTATTGCTCAATGTTCTCTTTAAAAATTAACTTTTATTCACAATGACCAAGATCTGAATCAGTGTTGCTAATTTTATACCACGCTGACATATTGCATTCATTGAAAATGTCATGAAAACATTTACCCCTCCTTGAAAGGAAGGAAATGCAAAGGGTTATTAGGGACATGAAGGTTCTTATTTAGCCTCGGTCAAGTTTACTTTAACAAGTTAATTTAAACAACATTTCACTTTTACACCTAATATGAACATATACTTTACAGTTTGCCTCCAATAATTAAGCGGAAATTCTTGAGGAACGTCTTTAGGAACGTTGAATGTTTCATTTAGTAGGGTTTTAAGGGAAAAAATAGTAGTTTCAAACAAACCAGCTTTGAAAATACAGATTTTTTTGAGATTGTGTTTGTTATTGTGTTAATCAATGTGAATGTTTTCTATTATATCTTATATGTTAAAGGGATGCCCACCCAAAAATGAAACTTTTCTCATCATTTACTCCCCCTCATGTCATTCCAAAACTGTATGACTTTCAAACAGTTTCAGGTTCCCATTGACTTCCACAGTATTTTTTTTTCATACAGTGAAAGTCAACTGAAACCTGAAACTCTTTGGTTACCAACATCCTTCAAAATATATGGAAGCCCGTTTCCACCACTGAATAAAAAATAAAAAAGGTAATTGCAACTTTTTGAGACGGATATGTTCTCAGAATTGCGAGTTTATATCTCACAATTTTGAGAAAAAAAGTCAGAATTGTGAGATATAAACTCGCAATTCTGAGAACATATCCGTCTCCCCACCCCCCTCAAAATTGGACTTTAACTCACAATTGCGAGTTTATATCACGCAATTCTGACTTTATAACTTGCAATTGCGTGTTAAAAAGTGAGAATTGCGAGTTTTTATCTCGCAACTGTGAGTTTATATCACACAATTCTGACTTTATAACTTGCAATTTTGTGTTATAAAGTCAGAATTGCAAGAGAAAAAAGTCAGAATTGCGAGATGTAAACTCACAATTGCGAGAAAAAAAGTCAGAATTGTGAGATAAAAAGTCGCAATAACCTTTTTTTATTATATGACCCCTTTAAATTCGAATGCAACGTTTTTGCATTCGAATGTGGATTTTTTTTTTGAATTCGATGAATATTCGAAATTCAAATTTTTTTTGACAGCCCTAGCGGAAATGGGCTTCCATAAAAATACCTTCTTTTCTGTTCCATGGAAGAAAAAAGTTATGAGGCAGAGTAAATTATGACAATTTCATTTTTGATGGACAATCCCTTTAAATGTTGCTTCTAGACCATTTTAAAATATCTACTGGTCATTTGGGATAATGTTTGGGAACTGGTGCTTTCAAGATCTTATTTATTTATTTATGTAATGTTTTAATATGATCTTTTATTCTTTTTGGAAATATTGCTAATATGTAAAAGGTTTCATCAGCCCAGGGCTGGTTTCCTGAGGAACTCTTCTTTGAGGAAGAAGGAGTGGGTTCACAAACCTTGGCTGAGTTTATTCATGAGTGTTGAGCTGTTTGTCCGTTTACAGTCTTTTGTGAGAGCGCCTGTCCTCGGTTCAATAATATAAACATGAATATGTTGACGAAGGAAAAGAAAATCAATTTGGTATGTTTATAATATATCAAGTTTTCATTTTCAACTTTTTTTTTTTTTTTTAACAGTTAGCAGTACTTCCAGTCTGAAATGAGGAAGTTTTGACTATCAGGGAATCGCTGCAGTCACTAGCTGGTCACGTGAATGTCATGTTACACAGTTTGTTCCTGTTGCAAACTCATTATTCAGCATGTTCAAGTCTTCCAGCATGTGTTTTTATATTGAATTGGATTAAAGTATGAAACGTTGACATATTGGGTATGGATGATTGGTTCTCTTAGGTTCAGAGAACCCATAATGTTTTGACTGAATACAAGTATCATATTTTTCGGTTTTATGTTTCTGTTTGTAAAAAGAAGGACTATTGACCATTACTAGAAGTGCTGTCTTTATACTGTGGATTGATTTAGATTAAATAAATCATTCCAGTAGAGCCTTGCATTTTTTATTTCCCTCGCCCTTTTAATATAATCAATCAAATTACTAATGAATTTGGTTCATGGTAGTGTAGAAGGCTGGTCTGTCAGCTCTGTCTGCCCCCATTGTATCCCGTCATGAAATATACGGTCTCCCGCCATCTGTCACCTGGTTTATAAATTAGTGATGGTGGTAATAAGTGATGGGCAGGTGGTATGTGCTATCTCTGTCATTGTTGCTGGGCTCATGTGCACATGCAATAATAATTCATAACTAAATGGAGATCCCAATGACCCTCAACCTTTATGACCTGAAAAACCTCTGTAAACCAGCTGCACAAAATTCATAACTAGAGGCTTTTTAAAAAGTTCATCGGCAGTTCCCTACATGAAATGTAAACCTTTGCTTAGTAGACTACTCTGTGTTTCATTTCCTCAAATTGTATAGTGGCTTATTCTACCAGTTTAAAGACGGTAACCTTTGTTTTAATGACAAAGAAACAATGTTTGGATTGTTTTATTATTGAAGATCTCATTGCTTGATGCAGATGTCCAATTAAAACTATATGTTAAAGGGCTTATTTGCATGCAAATCACAGTTAAACATTTAAAATTAAAAACATTTTTGCCCAGTGTCATCGAACGCCTGTGAGCTTTGGCATATCTAGACGTACACTGCCATTCAAAATTTAGCAAGACATTTACTGTACATTGCTACAAAAAAAATCTATTTAAAATAAATTCTGTTCTTTAAAATATATTCAAATAGAAAATATTTAAATATTTTATATTGTAATATTTCACAATTTGACTGTATTTTTTTATCAAATAAATGCAGCCTTGGTGAGCTCAAGAGACTTCTTTAAAAAGCATTTAAAAAATCTTACTGACACCAAACTCATCTTAATATTTCACCCCTGTAACATGACACACTTTTTTGCGTCTCTCCTGCAGTAACCGGGTGAGCGTGGAGGGGGCGACGCATAAGCAGGTGGTGGATCTGATCAGGGCTGGAGAGAGGGAGCTGGTGTTGACCGTGCTCTCCGTGCCGGCACAGGAAGTGGACGGACTTGACGGCGGTGAGGAAAGCTCAGTGCAGCCCAATTGCGACTACAGCGACAAGCAGGCCGTCCCCATTTCAGTCCCCACATACAAACATGTGGAACAGCACTCAGAGAAGTTTGTGGTGAGTTGTGCAGAAAGAAAGAAAGCATTTGACTTTTTGGCTGTTGTTTAGTGCTAATAACCTTTGTCATCTTGCTCCTCCTGTCTTAGGTGTATAACGTGTACATGTCGGGCAGACAGCTGTGCTTGAAGCGTTACCGGGAGTTCGCAATACTTCATCAGAACCTGAAGAGAGAGTTTTCCAACTACAATTTCCCAAAGCTGCCAGGGAAATGGCCCTTCTATAAAATAAAAAATAAAAATAAATATATATATATATATATATATAATTTATTTAATTTTTTTCCTATTTTATTTTATTTACCAAAAATGTTTTTAATCGTTTTAGTTTAAGTTAACAACACTGGGTAAATACAAAAATGTTAATGGTTATAAAATAGTCGTCATTGTGTAATTTTTGGGGGGGTAAAATGTGACCTTGGTCTCTTAACTCTTTTTTTTTTTTTTTTTTTTAACAAAACAAAAATTATAAAAAAAAGGTATTGGTACCTGTCATACAAAAGGGACATGTCGGGCAGACAGCTGTGCTTGAAGCGTTACCGGGAGTTTGCAATACTTCATCAGAACCTGAAGAGAGAGTTTTCCAACTACAATTTCCCAAAGCTGCCAGGGAAATGGCCCTTCTCTCTGTCCGAACCACAGCTGGATGCTCGCAGGAGGGGGTTGGAGGAATACCTGGAGAGAGGTGAGACAGAGGACAGAGAGAGGAGGAAATAAAGTGTGTCAAATTAACCTCAGGCCTTCATTTCTTATGTATTATTTTTTTATTACAATAACGAAAAAATGCAAGTGTTGAAAAAAAAATGCAGGTCTTGTTTGTAATGTGTCCTGGTTTCATCTATTTTC